CCGACTATGCGACTATGAATTACATGAGTGAGCCTACAATTGGTTGCGCAACTTCTAACATGCGTGGTAAAATGTATAACGCTCGCTATAACCTGCCCATAAACTGCACGATCTATTTCGGCCACAAAATGGGGCCCCTAAACTCACGGCCCCTTCCCCTGGGAGTTGCTGCTCGTCCCGGGTCCATGTTTTTGATGGCCACGGGGCCCGAGAACGGGCACCATGCAGAGGCGGCCGAAATTCAGCAAGAACGCCCGGGAGTGAAAAAAACAAAAAAAAAAAAAAAAAAAAAAAAAACTCCCGGACATCCGGCATCTCGATTTCTTATGGCACGGGCCCCCCACCTCTCGACCACTTCCCTGGGACGGGTTTTTCATCCAGAGCCTTTTTTGAAGGCCCTGAGGCCTGGTCAGGGCCTCGAGAGGCCGAAAACGACGACAGAACCACCGCCTCGATTTTGCTCGAGACGCCAGGCTGTCTGGGGCCTGCGCACCCGCGACTCGGTTCAGGGCGGGCGGCGCCTGCCCGCGGGTCCAGACGACGACGACGAGCACGACGACGACGCGGACGACGATCACGACGACAACGCTGACGACGATCCCGACGACGATGACGACGACGACGACGACGACGATCACGACGACGATCACGACGACGATCACGACGACGATCACGACGACGACGACGACGACGACGACGACGACGACGTCGACCACGTCTCGGCGCAGGGCGGGCGGCGCCTGCCGGAGCGTCCAGCGGCAATGCGCACGGGTTCGCGGCCCCGCCAGCCGCGCCAACTGGTGGGCCTGGGCTCCTCTGGCTCGCCGCGCGTGCCTCTGGCGGCTCCTGGCGTGCGCGGCCCCCCGTGGCGTCGAGGGGGCGATGCTCGATCCCCAGCCGTCCTCCTCTTCGATCCTCCTCCCCTCCTCGATCCTCCTCCCCTACTTCCTCCTCCTCCCCCCCCTCGATCCTCCTACTCCCTCTCCTCGGTCCTCCTCTTGATCCTCCTCCTCCTCCTCCTCCTCCTCGATGCTCCTCCTCCTCCTCCTCCTCCTCCTCCTCGATCCTCCTCCTCCTCGATCCTCCTCCTCCACTTCATTGATCCTCTTCTTCCTGAGTTTTGGGTTGATCGGAGTTCAATGCGACTTGATTGCAGCGTCAGTCCTCCTCGTCCTCCTCCCCATCCTCGATCCTCCTCAACCCACCTTCTTGATCCTCCTTGCTCCTCCCCTCCTCGATCCCCGATCAGCATCCTCCCCCCCTGGATCCTGGAGGCTCAAGGCTGGAGACTCGAAAACCGAGGATTTGGGACATCTTGGGGGGTCTTTTGGCGCCTCGCCCCAGGCTCGCCTCGAAATACTGACAAGACGCAGCCTGGGCCCGGTCTCGTCTCACCCCAGGGCACAGACATCCAGCGCCACGAAAAAATCGCGACGGCATCGTACGACGGTTGAAACCACTTTGCAACACCATCTCCCCAACAACAACGAATCATCCAGACCCTGGACTCGAGGGCCAGTTGCGTTCGAGATGCTGGGTCCGAAATAGTTTCCAATCCTGTTCCTCCAAAAACACACATTATATAGTGAAGCCGGGGGGGCGGGGGTCACGCGAAATGGTGCCTCAACGTTTGCTGCAAAGTTGACTGTAATGACTTGAGTGGGCGGGGCGCAGCTGGAGGGAAGGCGTGCACCGCCATTGCCCGCGCAGCTCGGCGTGGCGCGCTCGCGACGCCCCACGGGCACTCTCGCCGCGGCCATGCCAAAACCGTGTGGCCGACGGCAAGCTGGTAACGGCGCCGCGGCGTCCCTTCGGGCGCACGGCTTTCAATGTCACGGGAAACGATGCAGTTCCCGCAACGCACCCATTGCACATGAGGGCGTGTTATTTTTTCCGCAGCCCGAAGAAAGCTCTAAACCAGTTGCGCGAACGTCCTAGGGAAAGGCGGTCGATCTTCTTTCTGTGGGCAGCGTTCTGGCCGTACGAGCGCCGCGGGAAAACCGCGACGGACAATTCTGCCGTACTTCGGGCCTGAGGACCCTCACAAGCGAAGTTGAGACCTGCGGCCGTGTTCCCATTGCGCGACGCCCTGAATGTGTACCACGCCGCCGCGTGACAGGGGAAGCGGAAGAATGTCGCAGAAATCTGGCTGAAAACCTTGTTTTATCAGGAGTCCCCTTCCGCTTGCCTACTCGTTACTATCCTCTATATCCTCTTCGCTTCCATAACCACTATTGCCGCCACACCCCTGATAGTTATGGCCGCCACACCGATCGTGCAGAAATCACGACGCCGAAACACAGGTTCATGTCATCGAACGGGCAGCTCACCGTTCGTGGCGCCCAGAGCGACCCCCGAACCGGAGCCCCTCGTGAGCTCCAGGTGGTCCTTGCTTCAGCGTCCTAATTGTAACCCTCTGGATGGGGGCCCCGCAGCGCTCTCTACACGGCCGCGACACCCTCAGCAGAGGCAGGGGCCCTCTCGAATTTCGAGAGCTTCGGACTTTCGGAGATTTGCTTTGCAGTTCGTGGCTATGCTGCTGTTCTCGGGGCGGGGCCCAGCCCACCAGGCGGCAACGACGGCGGCGGCGGCCGCGCTGGCTGCGCCAGTGGCTGCAGCGGCAGCGGCAGCGGCTGCGGCGGCAGCGCCGTCAACGCCGGCGGCGATGGCGGCAGCGGCGGCGACGGCAGCGGTGGCTGCGGCAACGGCGGCGGCTGCGGCAACGGCGGCGGCTGCGGGGGTGACAGCAGCGGCGGCGGCTGCGGCTGTGGCTGTGAGCGGCGGCAGCTGCGGCTGCCGCAGCTGCAGGGGGGCGCGCCCCAGGGTAAGCCTCGGGCCGGGCGTTCTCTTTGCCGGCCGGGGCCAGGGCCCCGCACTCCAGCACCTCGGCGAGCCAACCCATCGCGGCGGGGCGCGCGTGCGATCGGATGGAGGCTCGGGGCTCAGAAAATTTGAGCGCTGATCGTCTTTTGTTGGCCACAGGTGCGCCACGGTCGAGGCCTGGCGGCTCGCATGACCACAACACAATATTATGGTTGTCGCCACGGTGGACGTGTCCCACGATGTTCCACTCTGCACGCACCATGAAGTACTAACAACTCCCACCCAGCACGGTGGACGTGTTCGGCCCAGCACTGGTTAAAAGCTAAGTACGACTCGAAAGACTAGCAAGTTAGGAAAAGCCCCGACCTCTGGTTTCCCAATTATTCAAAGTTTCATGGGACTTGCCGTCTCCCGCAAATACGGACCCACAGGGGGCTTCTCTTCGCCACGGCTAGATTATCCTCGAAAGTCTGGTCAGAACGTACCTCAAGACAGGTCGAGGAGAGACATGCAACCACCTGACCGAACCATCCGCCATCTCGAAGATATCGCAACGACCGGTTTATACCACTCTAGGGCGCTGGAAGCCAATTTCGACCCCAGGACGGTCGACGACGACAACCACCACGACGATCACGACGACAACGACGACGACGACGACGACGATGATGACGGCGGCGGAAACAACGACGACGACGATGATCACCAGACAATTTTGAAACGCCCCATACGTATGTGTAGGTGTGTGCGTACATTCTATATGCCGGCCGAATCTTGACCCTGTACATCCGTCGATTCATCGATCTACAACTGACGATGATATGGCCTCAACGCCAACGTATAGTTGCACGATATACGTTGTCTCGTCCCACCATATATGTTTGTATATACCGAGCCCACGCTTAACCTAGCGGTCTCACCACCGACCGATGTTTCCACGTATCGATATACCTGTTGACTGGCCCAATGTCCAACGCACCAGTATCACGACATAGCGGTATAGATCTATGTCAACCCGCACGGACCCAAAACACTGTGCTTCTAGAAATCGACGTCATGCGATCTAAATGGTGCACCCTGTGTGATACAGCCTATGTGGTGCAACTGATTTTCACCCATGATTTGACACATCCCGTGCTCTTGCAAACATCCCACCCACCCACCCGCAACTTGGTTTGTAAAACCTCTTAAGACCGACTACGACGACACCGGCGACGTCTCCGACGATTTCGACGACGACGTCTCCAACGACGTCGACGACGACGACACCGACGACGACGACGCCAACGCCGACGCCGACGCCGACGCCGACGACGACGACGATGACGACGCCGACGACGCCGACGACGACGACGCCGACGACGCCGACGACGACGTCGACGACGACGACGACGGCGGCGGCGACGACGACGACGACGCCGACGACGACGACGCCGACGACGCCGACGACAAGGACGACGAAGTCGACGTAGACAACGAAGACGACGACGACGAGGGAGGAGGGAGGACAACGACGGCGACAACGACAACAACGACGAGGGAGGAGGGAGGACGGCGACGACGCGAACGACGAAGAAGGAAGAAGGACGGCGACGCCGACGACGACAACGGCGAGGGAGGAGGGAAGACGACGACGACGACGACGACAACGACGACGACGACGACGACGACGACGACGACGACGACGACGACGACGGCGACGAAATAGGAGGGACGACGACGAGACGCCGACGACGGACGACGACGTCGACGAGAGAGGAGGAGGAAGGACGACCACGGCGACAACGACGACGGAAACGACCACGACGCCAAAGAGGGCGACGACGACGAACACGAGGAAAGACAGACGACGTAGGCGACGACGACGACGACGACGACGCGGGAGGAGGGAGGACGGCGACGACGACGACGACGACGCAAGAGCGCGCGCGCACGCTTTTGTTTAAAATCCGTGTTGCGAAACCTTGTGGTTTTGTATTTGTTTGGGGAACTCGATTGCGAAACCCTTCCGAAACCGAAGGGTTTTGAAGAGTTTCGGCATACGCGCGCGACGACGCGCGCGTATGCACTTCGCCTCATTTTTTGCAGAGGATTCTCGCGACGGCACACGCGAAAGGGCGTTCGACAGATGTCGACATGCGCGCGCGAAGCCCGTTTGGTAGCATGTTGTGAAAATATTGGAAAAAAAACTTATGGTTTTCTCAAGATTTCGCAAGAGCTCGCGCGTAAGCTTTTTTAGCAAATCAGTGTTGCGAAACCCTGTGTTTTTGTATGTCCTTTGGAAAACAGGCCCGAAGACGGGTGGCGACGAGGCGGCGACGGGGCATCGACGGCCACAGCATGGCCGCTAGATCGACAGACAGACCCAGTTCCTTAGGAAAGAAATAGGAACCCCAAGTGCAAGCACTGCTTGGGGACTGTGTAGGCATATCAACGGTGACCCCAAAAAACCGATCGCACTGAGTATATGCTGGTCTGGCGACCTATCGGCCACACCATCTATTTCTCGGCGGCGAGCTCGGAGAGGGAAGTGAGAAGGGGAGGGCCTTCTCAGAAGGCTAAGAAATCCCCCAGCCTTCTGAAAAGTGTTCAAAGCCTTTCCCGAAGACGCAGGTGACCTCTCAGAAGGCGCAAGGGTTTCTGAAAAGTCCCACCACCTTTCGCGAAGGCCTTTTCCTTCTCATGTCTCCCCCTCGCAAGGCGCCGAATTCACCTATATTATTACCCGCTTACCTTTCAACACGGCTACGACTTGGTATGACGATCTGTCGGTCTCACTATCAAACAATCGATATCACGATCAATCGACCTACCGCTATCACTCTCCATCTACAGGTTGCACTACGTAAGACAACCACGGCGAGGCACGAACCGTGGGACAACAACGGCGGGACAAACACAAGACAGCTCAGGAGACAACCGCAGGACAACCGCGGGACAACCACGGGAGGACCATGGGACGACCACGGGACAACCACGGGACAACCACGGGACAGCAGCGGGACTACCACGGACAACAACGGGATAACTATAGGACAACACACGGGACAACCATGGGACAACTACGCGATGACCACTGGACAACGACATGACTACCACGGGACAAGCAGGGGACCACCACGGAACAACCACGGCATAACCACGGGACAACCACACGACGACCACGGAGAAACCACGGAGCAACCGCGGGACAACCGCTGGACAAGCACTGGACCCCGACGGCACCACCCGCGGGACATCCGTGGAAAAGGCTGGATCTCCCACGCCCTCGCACAGCTCCGCCCGCGCGTCACGCACGACACGAAACGGATTCCGCTTGTTCTCACTCCAACGACGACGGCGGCCACGAAAACGACCGACCACCACCGGCGACCACGACGACAACCGACGACGGCGGCAGCGACGGCGGCGAAAGCGACGGCGGCGTCGACGACGTCGACGCAGCCGACGGCGGCGGCGCCGACTGCGTCTGGGGCCCGCGCCGCCGAGCCCTCCAGAGAACGCGAGGTCGAGGAGCCGCTCCGCTGCGACGGCGCGAGGGGCGTCCGGCGCCCCTCGGCGGCGGCCGAGGTGCGCAGCTGCGGCTCCTCGGCGGCGGCCCGCGGCGGCGGCGGCCCCGGCGGCGGCCGCGGCGTTCGCGGCGGCCGCAGCTCCTGGACGGCCCACGGCGAAAACGACCCAGCTCTCCGAGGATCTGAATTTTTAGGACCCGAATCCCAAAAGCGTGCGGTGGCCCCGAATGCGCACCGACTCACCACTCTGTGGTCACCACGCCGTCCGGGAGCCTCCGAAGTTATCGGGCCTGGGACGCAGAACTACCCCCAGGGAAGGTGTCGGGACTTCTTGGGCCGCGCATTGAAAACATCGCATCGTCGGATGTCCCGTAGATGGACCAGGGGCCCGTTGGAGAAACCACCTCTCAATGAAGGGAGCCAGGAGGACCAGAGCCAAATCTGGCGGGCGCAGGCCCGCAAAAACTGAGGGCGCGACGCACTCTCGAGAGCCGAAACTTTTTCGTCAGCGGCGAGGCAGAGGCAGTCCGCTCCAGCGTGTGGCTATTGGGGACAACCTAAAAGCTAATTGTCCGGCGTGCAAGAGGGAGGCTCGAGAGCCGAAACAGGGTGATGAGAGATTCGCTCATCGACTTGGTAGGGCTGGGTTCCTATTAACCTCCGAACGCTGGGGAACGACAACGACGACGCCCAGATCGTCTGACTCTCGGGCGCCCTGGGGAAACCAAGAGATACCGATACCGGTACTCCCTGGGCCTCTCCCGGGGTGCGTTCTGACAAGGACTTCGAGGCGAATCCAGCCGTGGCGACGAAGGCCTCCCAGCAAGCCCAAAAGGCGAAAATTAAGGAAGAGTAGCAGAATCGGTACCTTTGACAAAGCCCACCACGGGAGACAGCGCAGAGGGGGGGTCTCCCTTAGCTACTCCCCCCCCCTCTTTTACCTCCCCAGTTGGAAGGCCCCCCCCCTTTCACGCTCCAGAAGCTACCATCCCCTCCCCCACTTCAACTCCCCTGCCGGAAGCCCCTCCCCTTCCCTTTTTCCCCGTGCGACCCCTGCAAGCTACTCCTCCCCTTACCCTTTGACCTCTCCAGCCGGGAGCCCTCCTCTCCCCCCTTTCCCCCGCTGCCTCTGCAAGCAACCCCCCCGTCCCTCTTACCTTCCCAATTGGAAGCACTCCCCCTCCCCCTCATTTCGTCTCGCTCCGGATGCTCCCTCCCCTCCCCCCTGTAGCTCCCCCTGCCGAACCCCCCCCTCCTTTCCCCGCGCGACCCCTGCAAGCTACCCCCCACCACCTTTACACCTCCCCAGTCGGAAGCCCTCGTCCCCCCCTCCCCTCCTGTTTTTCGCCCTACAGAAACTCCCCTCCATACCCTTGAACATCCCACCCGGACGAAGCATTACCATTATACTACGCTCGTCGCACGGCAATGCCTAGGCAGATGGGCGAAAGCAATACTTTCCGAGTATACCGATCACGTGGCAACGCTGGAGCCGGAAATAATGTCTATTCTTCTTGTCACGCACCAACGCCTAATGGGCAATCACAATACTAGTACATGATTGTCTTCACGTGACAACACTGTGGGCGGAAAACATAAGATTATACACCACTCTTTACTCGTCAGGGGGGCGGAAGCACATATCACTCTGCTCTACCCATCACATGGCTACACAAGAACTAGGCGGCCCGCCAGAAAGCTTTGGAATTCTTGAAGCCCTTACTTACGAAATACGAAGAATCCCCCAGAGATCGCTGGAAGATTGGGCACCATGCCACTACACCCGCCACGCGGCAGCGCATGGTGGCGCGAACTGGTTCAATCCTGCTCTACACGTCACGTGGGGGGGGGGGCGGAAACAGTGCTCTGCTCTGCTCGCTGCGCGGCCACACAACGATACGGAACCACTGCAAGTTGACCGTCGCCGGACGGCCACACGGACGCTGAACCAAACCAGTGTTTGCTGAACTCGTGGAGTGGCAGCGCCTCGGGTGCGAGCAAGAAGTGCCATTCTATTATACTCGCCACGTGGCAACGTAGGGAGCGGGAACACGTTCTCTACTCGTCGCGCAACAACGCACAGATGAGTAACACCAAGAAGATCCGTCGGTGCTCCGCGAAGGTGATAAAACAATGCTTTGGCGACGAAGCCGACGACGACGACGACAATGACGGACAAAACGATGACGACCACGACGACGACGACGGCGACGGCGACAGCGACGGCGACGACGACGGCGACGGCGACGGCGACGGCGACGGCGACGGCGACGGCGACGACGACGACGACGACGACGACGAGAACGACGAGAACGACGAGAACGACGACGACGACGACGACAACGACGACGACGACGACGACGACGACGACGGCGAGACGACGACAACGACGGCGGCGGCGACGGCGACGGCGACGGCTACGACACCAGAGACGACGGCCACGACGACGACGAAAACGAAAACGACGACGACGGCGACGACGACGACGACGGCGATGACAAGAACGACGACGAGAACGACGACGAAAACGACGACGACGACAACGACGACAACGACGACAACGACGACGACGACGACAACGACGACGACGACGACAACGTCGATGCGCCCGCCCGCCCGCCCGTGTTCGTCCGCCCGCCCGCCCGCCCGCTCACCCGCTCTCCCGCGGGCACACGCGCCCGCCCGCCCTTTTCTTCACCAACCCGCCCGCCCGCTCGCGCGCCCGCCCGCCCGCCCGATCAGCCGCACACCCGCGCGCTCGCTCGCTCGCCCACCCACACGCCCCCAAGCTCACCCGTCCTGTCGCCAGCCTGGCCGCCCGCCCGGTCCCCCCTTCACAAGTTTGCCCGCCCGCCCGCACGCCCGCTCGCTCGCGCACAAAATGGTCCGCGCGCCCGCCCTCCCACGCGCCCGCGCGCCCGCCCACGTGCCCGCCCGGCCGCCCGCGCCATCGCACGCCCGCGCGCCAGCCCGCCTGCATGCCCACTCGCTCGGCCGCCCGCCCGCCCGCCCGGGCCGCCCGCGCGCCCGCACGCCTGCGCGCCCCCCTCGCCCGCTCGCCCGTGTGCCCATCCGCTCACGCACCTGAGATCCCCAATGAATGCCCAAGGATCCAGAGGCAAACTCATAATTCCTACCAAAAACCATCGATCGTGGGCTATACTCGTCGCGCGGTGCCGCTAAAAACCATACAATTACCATTCTACAACACTCGTCACGCGGCAACGCCTGGGGAACTAAATGCTAGACTACAAGGCTCGAAACGTGGCAACGCACGGAGGCAAAACGTACAATTCTACTGTGCTGGCCACGTGGCAACGCAAGGGAGCGGAAACAAACAGTATTCACGTCTACCCGTCACATGGACACGCAGAGGGAAGGGGATGGGAAACAACTCAGATTCTTCTCCGCTCGCCGACGACGACACTTACAATGACTATGACGATGATGATGACGACGACGACGAGGAGGACGACGAAGACGACGACGACGGCGACGACGACGACGACGAGTTACCCCCCCTCCCTTTGGACCTACCCACCCCGAAGCCCACCCCCCTTCCGCCCACTCCGCCCCTCCATCTCTGGGCTTGCCAAACCTCCAAATCCTCAATGGTCCCACAGAATTCTTAGGGACCCGCCAGAATATGTATGAAAGCATTGGGATATCCTCGACGGTCGGCTGCACTCGCCGCGTGGCACGGCAGAGGGCGGAAACACATAAAGGGCTGCTATGCCCATCACATGGCAGACCTGGGAGGGCGAACAACTAATAGTACACTCGACTCGCCCTGTGGCAACGCAGGAGGCGGAGAACATTCCATTCTACGCTACTCGTAAAAATGGAAATGCGGAAAACAGAAACCATTAGTACAGTTAACCCGTATAATAAGGATGTGCGATAGAGATGCAATGGCCTTGGAAGGCCCTGTCGACACTTTGCGAGCGGGGCGCGGTCAGCGAAAGCGGCCAAGGATGGGCCGACGGGGAGGGATACAAAGGGCAACTTTGAAGTTGATAACCCTTACTATGCGGGTTGACCGTGTTCCCTCTTCTGCTCTACAGTGGAGCCAGCGCGCGACAACAACAGAGACGACGACGACAACGATAATGACGACAGCAACGACAACGACGGCAACGAGAAGCACTACGACGATGACGACCTCGACTACGAGGACGAGCGCGACGACGCTGCCGGCACAGACGACGACGACGACGACGACGAGAACGAGAGCGAGAGCGAGAACGACGACGACGACAACGACGACGACGACGCCGAGACTTCGTTCAGATCCCCAAAAAAGAGCGAGGGAGGAGTAGCTTCCGAAGCCCGCCCCCCTTTCAAAAGTAAGCCCAGGCTTACCCACAGCCCCGAAAAGGGAGGAGGGGGGGGCTTCGGAAGCCCTTCCTCCCCTTCACTGGCAACCCATTGCTTCGCACAGGGAGGGAGGCGGGGGTGTTAGCTTCGGAAAGACCCCACTTCGAAGCCCCCCCCCCCTTCGAAAGGGGAGCCTGGGCGCACACTGGAAGCCTCAAAAGGGGGAGAGGGGGCCTCGCTTTCAAAGCCACCTCCCACTTTACAGCAGGGGGAGGGGTAGCTTCCGAAGCCCCGCCACCCCGCAAAAGGAAGCCCAGTCTTACCCCCGGCCCCGACAGGGGGCTTGCCATCGCTCGGACGTCCATTTCCCGAGTGATGTTCGATGTCGTGCCTCTCTATTTCGAAAATGACCCAGGATGCGATGCCCAGGGGGGGGGGGAGGAGTTCTGTCGAGCACGGCGCCAAGAGGAGCCTCGCGGTGCGCCGCGGGCTGCCGGGGTGGAGGCAGCGCTCCGCGCGCCCTGCGGAGCCCGTGCCCGGATGCCAGGCTGAGCGGGAGCAGGGGGCCCTGAGATCCGACGGCGCGAGGCAGCTGCAGCATCGTGAGAAACAGCGGCCAGAGCCCCGGACCCCATCTTTATCCCGCAGGTTCGAGCTGGGTCGCTGCGCGAGGGTCCCCCTGGGGCCGAAATTGTGCGAAAGCGCTCGGCTCGAAGATGCGACAGGATCTCAGGGCGAGGGGCGAGCTCTCGACGCTGAGGGCGAGCCACTGCGCAGGCACGGGCGACGAGCGTGAGGCGGGCGGTCCGCCCAGCACGAGACGCTCGGAGCACGTCTGCCAGCCCGCCCCTCCCTTGCGAGGGAGTTGGCAGCGAGGCACGGAGAAGCCTCTCGTCTCGTGCGGCTCCACGGGGTCTGACATACTCACGTGCGATCAGAAGTCGTGCTCGACTGCGGCAGCATCTGTCCAGATGCGACTAGAGGCCAAGGTTATCTCACCCAAGTTGGTCACGCTTGAGTGCGTGATGCGTATATCATCGCACTCGGGCATGTGCAAATTATCACGTTTGAGACTGCTTGTTTGATCGCATTCGGGCACTTGCGGAGGCATACGAAGACTGACGTGGGGAGCTTCACGAAGCCAGTCCAGCCCATCATCTGAACGGCCCGGCTGAAGGCCATGCCTGTCCGAAAGCTTCACTGAGAGGAGCGCTAATCCTCCTCGACCTCCTGTTCCTTCTCCTCCTCCTCCTCCTCCTGCTCATCATCATCATCATCATCATCATTATCATCATCATCATCATCATCATCATCATCATCATCATCATCATCATCATCATCATCATCATCATCATCATCATCATCATCATCATCATCATCATCATCATCATCATCATCATCATCATCATATTCATCATCATCATCATCATCATCATCATCATCATCATCATCATCATCATCATCATCATCATCATCATCACCAGTGTTATCATCAGCATCATCAGCATCATCAGCATCATCATCATCAACAGCATCAGCATTAGCATCGGCATCAACATCAGCATCATCATCAGCATCATCAGCATCAGCAGCATCATCATCATCATCACCATCATCATTATCCTCATCCTCATCCTCAACCTCATCCCTTTCCTCCTCCTCCTCCCACCCTCTCCTCCTCCTCTCCTCTTCTCTCTGGGGGGTGCGACGGCAACGACCGGAGGCCCTCAAGGTAGCTGCTGCACAGCGAAGTGCCTGCACGAAACTACAAGGCTGACGGAAAACACCCCGTCTGGAACTGAAAACGTTGCCGCTGGCGACGAGAAAACAACAACGTGGGCTGTCCTCGGCGAGTGAGGCGGGCCAAAAGTGAAGACTACATGTGCTCAATTGCGCCTTCCGGCATTGAGTCGACAGACGAACACAGGGCGCACAAGCGCCAAAGAGCGGCGCATGAATGACCAGGCCAAATATTGCCATCCAGACAAGGTCAGCGCAGCACACGCGGCACAGACGGCACAGCCTTGAAACTGTGCAGCGCTGTAAACACGTTGACTGGCCGCATTGCAGAACGCAAAGCTACCTTCACATGGCGGGTTCCAGAAACCCTGACCCCAATAATGCTGTCATCTCTTGGGGCCGCATCTTTTACTTCCTTAGACTTCTCCCTGCATTCCGCTGGCTTCCGCCAGCAATGCCGCCCCCGTTTTACGTCCGCCGGCTTCCGCCGGTTTTCTGCCGCCTTCCGCCAAGGAAGAGATGGCAATTCCTTCGATCCTCGAAGGCGAGGCCCTTTCTAGAAGCCCCACATGTTTACATGAGTCAAAGAGCCAGGTCCAAAGGGGTCTCACACTGCCCCTGGGCGCGCGGTGGAAGCGCAGTAGATGGCGCCGCCGCGCCCTTTGCTCGTCTTCCGAAGCTGCTGTGATCGCCGCCCCACCCCGACGGTCCAACTGCCCGCGTGCCAATTTGAGCTCCCCCGCCAGCGACCGGTCCGTAACACACCCGCCCACGCGATCCACGACCCACCCGCGACCCACCCCGCGACACCCGCTATCCGCCCTGTCGCGCCCCACCCAAAATCCGCCCCGCATCCAAGCCCCGGCCCGCCGGTGACCCACCCGCGGCCCGCCCAAAAATACGCCCCGCGACATACCCGCGGCCCGGCCCCGCGACCCACCCGTGACACTCCCGATGACCAGATTGGGACCCGCCCCGCGACACACCCGCGACTCGCCCACGCCGCTTGGAAAAACATCGACACCCGTGGACGTTTATTTCGCTTTGGCTGATGGGCGATGCAATCATGTGCCCCCGCCCACGCGTCCCCGGCGGGCTTATCTTCATGCATGACTGCACCGTGAGCACGCCCGCGCGACCTACCCAAGACGCGCCCAGCAACCCACCCCACGAGCCGCCCCGAATCCACGATATGCCCCGCGACCCACCCCCGATCCGCGTGCGACCCGCGCTCGCGTCCGATACTCGCCCCTCCTCACCCCCTGCCCGCAACTGCGGGGCCTACGGCGCAGCATGTGTCTGCCCGACTGCACGTGCAGCCTCAGGGTGATTTTTTATGGGGCGCAGAAAGACTAGACGTACTAGTACGATGTGCCCCCCTTGCAGGAGCACGTCCGAGCCGAATGTATAGCGCAAACATAATATATCATATCCTTCAATCGTATATACTATAAGATTTCTGAGCGCGCGCATCACCCATGGGGGGCAGACGCACACATAGTATGTAGCACCCCGTAGTTGCGGATAAGAGTGAGGGGGCGGCGGGGACGCCGGCAGTTTGCAAGATTCTGAGAAGCCCACCGCAGGCGCCGAATCCTAACAAACTGCACAGCGAGCCCGCCGCAGGCGCAGATTTCTTCGTTCAAGCGCTGTGGGTGGGTCGCGGGTTGGGTCGCAGGTGGGTCGCGGGGTGGGTCGCAGGTGGGTCGCGGGTGGGTCGCGGGTGGGTCGCGGGTGGGTCGCAGGTCGGGTCGCGGGCGGGTCGCGGATGGGTCGCGGGTGGGTCGCGGGTGGGTCGTGGGTCGTTCGCGGGCGGGTCGCGGGTGGGTCGCGGATGGGTCGCGGGCGGGTCGCGGGTGGGTCGCGGGGTGGGTCGCGGGTAAGTCGCGGGTGGGTCGCAGGTGGGTCGCGGATGGGTCGCGGGTGGGTCGCGGGTCGGATCGCGGGGGAGACGACGACAAAAACAACAATCATTCTAAGACTGTTCGCTCCTACTTGCCCGCGTGTCAATCAAAACGGTTTCCCCACACCCTCGATACCCGCCCTCTTGGTCTTCGATCACAGCCCCTTTGGGGGTATTATTTCTCTTTGCGGGGGGCGGCGGACTTAGACAGGCGGGCAAACCTGAACGGGCGGACAATCCTTCGTGGGGGTACATGTGCCCGCCATTGGAATTGGTGCGGGCCCTGCAAAAAAAATGAGGGGGAGAACGAGGAAGAGTGGGAGGAAGGGAGGGGGAAGGACGAAGGAAGAGGGAAAACGCCGGGAGAAAAGGAGCGAAGAGGGGGGCGGTTGATTAGAGGTAGTGAGAGAGAGAGAGGACATATAAAAACTGTAGAGAAAGAGAGAGAGGGGGAGAGAGAGAGAGAGAGAGAGAAAAAGAAAAAGGGAGGGGAGAGGCAGGAGAGGGGAGGGAGAAGGGAGGAGGGAGAGGAGGGAGAGGGGATAAGGCAGAGAGGCATAAGGACAAGCTAGGTGCGCTCGCGTCATATCTGACGTCCTACCCCTCCCTCCCATCCCTTACCATGGCGCTGATTTTCTCTATCCGCGGACGCGTGTCGTAGCGGACCTGTGGCTCCGCGCGCGCGTGCGTAGTGGGTGGTGGTGCGCGTGCGTGCGTGCGTGCGTGTGTGCGTGGTTGTTGGTGGTGGTGGTGGGTGGTGGTGGGTGCTGTGGTGGTTGTGGTGGTGGTGGTGGTGGTGGTGGTGGTGGTGGTGGTGGTGGTGCGGCGCGGTGGTGGCGGGCGGATGGGCGCGCGAGAAAGAGGCCCGCGCTGGGGCGAGAACGCCATCCTGAACGACGGAGGCCAAACACCGATCCGAAAATGAGGCCCACGCTGCAGCGGGAGCACGATTCGGAACGATTCGGGAGCAGAAATGAGGCCGGCGCCTCAGCGAGAGCAGCATTTTGAAAAAAAACGCAGGCGAAAACCCAACTCCCGGGAATCCTGTGTGTAAAAAAACAGTACGCGGGGGGGGGGGTCGGCCACTCCCAGCACGCCATCAGGGGAAGAGGGAGAGTAGTATGCATTGAAAAATTGTGGAGGAGGAGGAGGAGGAAGAGGAGGAGGAGAAGGAGGAGGAGAGGAGGAGGAGGAAGAGGAGGAGGGGGAGGAGGAGGAGGAGGAGGGGGAGGAGGGCAAGTTAGGTGCGCTCGCGTCAACATCTGACATCCTACCCCTCCCTCCCATCCCTTACCATGGCGCCGATTTTCTCTATCCGCGGACGCGTGTCGTAGCGGACCTCTGGCTCCGCGCGCGTGTGCGTAGTGGGTGGTGGTGCGCGTGCGTGCGTGCGTGTGTGCGGTTGCGGTTGTTGTGGTGGTGTGTATGTGTGTGTGTGCGTGTGTGCGCGTGTGCTGTGGTGTGACGTGGTGTGGCGTCTTGGTGGTTTGGTGGTGGGCCAGGTGCGTACGTGCGTGATGGCGGTGGTGGTGGTGGCGGTGGTGGTGTGTGTGTGTGTGTCTGTGTGTGTGTGTGCGTGTGTGTGTGTGTGTGTGTGCGTGTGTATGTGTGTGTGTGTGTGTATGTGTGTATGTGTGTATGTGTGTATGTGTGTATGTGTGTATGTGTGTCTGTAAATGTGTGTATGTGTGTATGTGTGTGTATGTGTGTATGTGTTCTGTGTCTGTGTCTCTGTGTCTGTGTGTCTTGTGTCTCTGTGTCTCTGTGTCTCTGTGTCTCTGTGTCTCTGTGTCTCTGTGTCTCTGTGTGTCTGTGTGTCTGTGTGTCTGTGTGTCTGTGTGTCTGTGTGTCTGTGTGTCTGTGTGTCTGTGTGTCCTGTATGTGTGTGCCTGTGTGTCTGTGTGTCTGTGTGTCTGTGTGTCTGTGTGTCTGTGTGTCTGTGTGTCTGTGTGTCTGTGTGTCTGTGTGTCTGTGTGTCGGTGTGTCTGTATGTCTGTGTGTCTGTGTGTCTGTGTGTGTCTGTGTGTGTCTGTGTGTCGGTGTGTCTGTGTTTCTGTGTGTCTGTGTGTCTGTGTGTCTGTGTGACTGTGTGTCTGTGTGTCTGTGTCTCTGTTTCTGTGTCTCTGTGTCTCTGTGTCTCTGTGTCTCTGTGTCTCTGTGTCTCTGTGTCTCTGTGTCTCTGTGTCTCTGTGTCTCTGTGTCTCTGTGTCTCTGTGTCTCTGTGTCTCTGTGTCTCTGTGTCTCTGTGTCTCTGTGTCTCTGTGTCTCTGTGTCTCTGTGTCTCTGTGTCTCTGTGTCTCTGTGTCTCTGTGTCTCTGTGTCTCTGTGTCTCTGTGTCTCTCTGTGTCTCTGTGTCTCTGTGTCTCTGTGTCTCTGTGTCTCTGTGTCTCTGTGTCTCTGTGTCTCTGTGTCTCTGTGTCTCTGTGTCTCTGTGTGTCTCTGTGTCTCTGTGTCTCTGTGTCTCTGTGTCTCTGTGTCTCTGTGTCTCTGTGTCTCTGTGTCTCTGTGTCTCTGTGTCTCTCTGTGTCTCTGTGTCTCTGTGTCTCTGTGTCTCTGTGTCTCTGTGTCTCTGTGTCTCTGTGTCGCTGTGTCGCTGTGTCTCTGTGTCGCTGTGTCGCTGTGTCGCTGTGTCTCTGTGTCTCTGTGTCTCTGTGTCTCTGTGTCTCTGTGTCTCTGTGTCTCTGTGTCTCTGTGTCTCTGTGTCTCTGTGTCTCTGTGTCTCTGTGTCTCTGTGTCTCTGTGTCTCTGTGTCTCTGTGTCTCTGTGTCTCTGTGTCTCTGTGTCTCTGTGTCTCTGTGTCTCTGTGTCTCTGTGTCTCTGTGTCTCTGTGGTGTGTCTGTGTCTCTGTGTGTCTGTGTGTCTGTGTGTCTGTGTGTCCTGTGTGTGCGGTGTGTGCGGTGTGTGCGGTGTGTGCGGTGTGTGCGTGTGTGCGGTGTGTGCGTGTGTGCGGTGTGTGCGTGTGTGCGTGTGTGCGTGTGTGCGTGTGTGCGTGTGTGTGCGTGTGTGTGCGTGTGTGTGCGGTGTGTGCGTGCGTGTGTGTGCGTGCGTGCGTGCGTGCGTGCGTGCGTGCGTGCGTGCGTGCGTGCGTGCGTGCGTGCGTGCGTGCGTGCGTGCGTGCGTGCGTGTGTGTCTGTGTGTGCGCGCGTGTGATGTGGTGTGACGCGGTGTAGCGTGGTGGTGGTGGGTGGGGTAGTGCGGTGGTGGTGGCGGTGCGCGGTGGTGGTGCGCGTGCGTGCGTGCGTGCGTTGGTGGGTGGAAGTGGCGGTGGGTGTGCGTGCGGCGGGGCGGGGCGTGGTGCGGCGCGGTGGTGGCGGGCGGATGGGCGCGCGAGAAAGAGGCCCGCGCTGGGGCGAGAACGCCATCCTGAACGACGGAGGCCAAACACCCATCCGAAAATGAGGCCCACGCTGCAGCGGGAGCACGATTCGGAACGATTCGGGAGCAGAAATGAGGCCGGCGCCTCAG